GGCCCGGGGCTGGGCGAGCCCAGGCGAGCCGCGACCCCTCTCTGGGCCTTAGGTTGGGGGGAACTTCCCTTCCTTCCCCCATCCCTTTATCATCTCTCCTCCCCCCATGTATCCTTCCCTCCCTCCTTCCTTCCCTCCCTGCCTCTCTCTCAATTCTATCAGTTGAAAATGTATAGCAGGTGAAACCACTGCTGCGACCCCACCACCACCACCCGCTTTACATATGTGCCAACTGAGGCTCAGAGAGGGCCAGGGGCCGGCTAGCTCTCTGGTCATTTAGGGGGCACTAGGCCCTGAGTGCAGAGAGACCGGGGTTAGGCTTAGGGTTGATAAGTGATGAATGGATGCATGGGTGATGGATGCATGGATGAGTGGACGGATGAATTCATAGGGCATGGTTACATGGATTGGTAGCTATATGGTTGAATAATCTACAGGAATGGCTGGATGGTGAATGGTGGTGAACATTAACCTGGAACAATGGATGAGTGTTCAGGATGGATCCTCACACAGATCTTGTTTCCCCCAAAGCTGGGCCACTCCCCCCCCCCAACCTTCCCCAAGCAGCTCCACCTCCAGAGCCCCCTCTTCCTGCCCCCTCTTCCCAGGTCTGACTGGTTTTTCTATGACTGCCGCCTCCTCAGACATGTGGCCGTGGGCCTCTTCTGCTGTGGGGTCTCTGTCTACCTAGCAGGTGCGTGCCGGGGACAGGACGTGGGGTGTGGGGGCCGTGGGTGGGAACGGCCAGGGTTAATGGTCCCATAACCGGGGTCAACTCTGGAGCCACCCTGCCTGTGTTTGACTCTTGGGTCTGACACTTTCTGCCTCAGTTTCCTCATCAGTACAATGGGATAATAACAGTTTGTTGCTTAATAGAATTGCTGAGAGGATTTTGAGTTAATCCTCCTAAAAGCCCGCACATGGCATCTGGCTCCAGTGGGGGGTGATGGGGGCGGGGGGAGGATTCATAAAGGGTACTTGTCTTCCGAACACTCCTGATTCATCAGTTTTCTACATTTGGTTTTGAACAAAATTTTCTATGTCCTTGGTAGTTTCAGGAGATAGTTTCAAAGGTTGGCCTTAGCAAAAAACTGTTTTGGTTACAAATATCAGAACTTCAAGAATGGCTTAAGGGGGTGGGGGGATATACTTTATAAACCAGAAATACAATTTAAAATCCCCAAACATGAAGGAGAGTAAAAATAATTAGCTGGGTGCCAGAGGACACATCACCCTCTTTTCCTCCCTGGCTTTTAATAACTTAGATCAATGTTCTCACCCACACCTCCTGGTAAACGCATCAAATCATCACGTTTCTTTAAAGAGACTCCTGACATGTTATATTTGGTTGTAATCTTGACAAATGTTTAGGAGACACAATTAAAATACGTATTTATGAGATGTGAGCCCGGGGCTCACTATGGGAATTTGTATGTAAAGTGCAGGGAACTCTGCTTAACTTTTGTTGTTTGACTTAATAAAATGCCCCAGGTATGGCTTCTTTTTTTTAAAAGAGAGTGGAGCCCTAGCCGGTTTTCTCAGTGGTTAGAGCGTCGGCTCTGGGATTGAAGGGTCCCAGGTTCGATTATGGTCAGGGGCACATGCCTCGGTTTCAGGCTTGATCCCTGGCCCCGGGTCAGGGCGCATGCAGGAGGCAACCAATAGACATGAGATGTTTCTCTCTCTATCTCTCCCTGTTCCTTCCACTCTCTCTAAAAATCAATGGCAAAAATGTCCTTGAGTGAGGATTAACAACACCAGCAGCAAAGAGAGAGGATGGGGTGACCAGCGTATCTGAAAAGACCAGGGGATTGTTGGCCTCAGGTGTGATTGAATCCAGGTGCTCAAACGAGCCCATCAGAAATGCCTCTTGCTTCACCTCTTCCCGTTTCCCCTTAGAAAGATGGTTGTATCTGTGCTTTCAACAAAATGCCTACAACCTCCCGTCTTTTCACGAGCCAGCAAACATGTTGGAGACTTAAAGTATCCTCATTTTAAAATATGAGAAAACTCACAAAGGGGAAAAAAAAAAAAGTAACTATGTCAGTCTCATCAAGCATTAAGAATTCGTTCAGCTCCGATTTAGATTCTTTCTAAGGTTAGGTGACCTCACTTGGCAAGAATTGCCCAGTATGTCCAGTCAATCCTCCATTCATTGCTAACCAGAGCCAAAAGAATAATTATAAAGACCTTTTCAAAAATGTTCAGAGCCGCACGCTCTTTCTCTCTCTTGAGCACGCCTCAGCCTTTCCCCCTCTCCTTCCCCAGGCGAGTCCTCTCTTTCTTTTTCCTAAGCTCCGAGGGCCCTTCTCTTGCCTCCGTAACTCATTTCCTAAGCCCACATAGCCCAGCTGGCTGTACCTTTCTAAATAAACTTTCTCTTATAATTTGGAAAAACAATTGTTTAGAGCAAAAAACACCCTTGGCCTCACTTTAACGTCAGATACAATGTGTCATCTTCAAAAGCAAGAGTACAGAGCCAAAGAAGGCATAAAACACTCCCATAAAGTGCCAAGAAATCCTCTGTCAGCCCTCGGCTTCTCTCTCCAGTTCCCCAGGGGTTGCAGTAAGAAAATTTCTGGGTTCTCATATCCCAAGCAAAAATCTCAGTGCTGACTCTCATTGGCTGAGCTTGGGTCTTGTGAAAGCCCTGCACCAATCACTACAAGACGGGAAGCAATGCTCTGATTGGCCACGCCTAGCACTATCCCGTCACTGATGCCACAGGGGTGGGTCAGAGCTTCTAGACCTGCCTCCAGGGTGGGCATAGGGACTGGACTGGCCGTTCTCAATGGGGGCTGAGGCTATGCCCCAGGGGATATTTGACAATATCTGGGGAAGTGTTTGGTTGTCACACAGGGTGGGAGAAGGTACTATTGGGATCTAGGGCAGGGGTGGGCAAACTTTTTGACTCGAGGGCCGGAACAAAAGCATGGATGGAGGGTTTGTGTGAACTAATATAAATTCAAAGTAAACATCATTACATAAAAGGGTACCGTCTTTTTTTTTTTTAGTTTTATTCATTTCAAACGGGCCGTAGTTTGCCCACGGCTGGCCTAGGGGGTAGACACTGGTAAATGTTCCCACAGAAATGAATGGTGCCGACTGCATGCTGGACCAGCAAGGCCCTCAAGGCCAGGTCACCAACTGCCTTGTTCAGATTAGCAAACCAAGGCCGGAGGGGAGCCGCGATTCACTGAAGGCCAATGACAGGGATTCAGAAAACCCGAGATCTGGGTTGTTTTAATTGTGGTGAAGTGCACAGAACGAAATTCACCCTTTTATGGTAAAATTGACGTCGTGATGATATATTTGTGGGCTGTGAGAGGATCGACGAGTTGATCCACGTGCCTACCGTGTTGGACGGTTTTGAATGACTGCCCCTCTGTGGGAAGCTCTCCCGGGGCTTGGGGGGCACGTGTTTGTAGACTGAGTAAATGAGAAACATTTCCTTCCTCAGGACTATCCATCTATGCTCTGCTGCTCTTCGAGATCGAGGCGGGAGCAGCAGCCGCCTCCATCCTCGGCTTGGGCGCCCTGGCCCTGGTGGCCGTGCTGACCCACGCGCTGCTCCGGGCTGCCCAGGCCACCCGCCGGGGTCTCCGTGAGCTGTCCCCACCGCACTTCGAAGATGACCCTGCCCGCTCCGCTGAAGTCTCCAAGGCCAGCCCCAGGGCTCCGCCCCAGCAGGGTACCCACCACCAAATCCCCTACTCATTCTGCCCAGAACCTGGGGACCCCCTCAGACCCTCAGTCACTGCCTCCATGCCTGCATCTGTGGGGGGTGTCCGGGAGAGCAGCCTGTCTGCATCCTGCATGCACCGGACACTGTTGGTCGGTGGGGGGCACTGGGAAGGGGTCACCCATGAGATGCGCAGCATGCTGGGACACAAGCCAGGGGGGTTGGGGAAAGATTCCACACTGGTGTGAGCTCAGGGGTCAGGGACAGAGAGCTGGTGTCAGGCAGCAGAAAGAGCCGTCTGCAGAGATCAGTCACAGTAGCAGTACAGCGTGGTTTCTCTTTCAGTTCGTAGCATCTCTGGCTTTTGCCCTCAAAGTTGCCTCATGGCACAAAATGGCTGCCAGGGTTCCAGCCTTCACACCCTCATTCATAGAGAAAGGCAGAGGCCAGGGCTGGCTCAGCATCTTTCCAAAGTCTTCCTGGGAGGCCTTGGGACCTTTCTGCTTATTTCGCACTGATCAGGACATGGCCACAACTTGCTGCAGGGGAGACTGGGAAATGCAGCAACGCAGACAATGAGGTTCTGGGATAGGCAGGAGGGGCGGGTGGGGCTTAGGCAGTGGTTCTCTAAATGTCTCCGTCCATTTTACAGATGAGGAAACCGAGGCCCAGAGAGGGGCAGTGACTCACCACGGGTCCCCCGGCCAGTACTGAGCATCAGAGCCAGGTCCTGTAACCCCCATGCTGCTGACAGTGCAAGTCTCTGCGACTCCTTCCAGTCTGTGAGCATTTGAAACCTGTGTGTGCAGAGCTCAGAGAAGCCCAGGGCCACAGCAGCCCTGCAGGGCTGCACCCAGACTCCTGGCTGTGGGTCCGTGGTGAGGGCTTCACCACTCCGTGTCTCAGTTTCCTTGTCTGTAACATGGGGACAGAATCGATCCCTCTGCCTAGGGCTCCCATGAGACTCCGTGTAAGCCATTCCGGGGGCCTGTGCACAGTAGGTTGTCAATGTATGGCAGCTGAGGCGCCTGGTGGCTGAGAAAGATGGGCTGATGGCCAGGTTCTGGGGCTCGTGGAACTGGCAGCGCTTGGAGTGGATAACTCAGTCCCAGGAGTCTCCAGGGGCCCTGGCCCCACTCCCATCCTGCAAATAAACTCTGGCCCGCACTATCTCCACGTCACTTGAGCCACACCTGAATGTGCTTGTGGCCAAGCCTGGGCTTGGGGTAAGGAGTGGGGTGGCAGGAGTGAGGGTGGGGAGGGCAGGAATGGGAGACGGGGTTTGCCCTGGGAACTGTCTCCCACAAATCTTCAAAATACAAATTTCACCAGGAGTGGGGGTGGTCTGACCCCCCACCCCTACCCCAATGTGCAGATGTCCCAGGAATTTTCCAGCCTGTCCCTTCCTGAGCCACGTGAGGACTCCCGGGCCCAAGGAGCAGAGGAGGCTCAGCCACAGCAAAGGAAACCCCCTTAGGACTCTTCCCAATGGGCAGAGAAGGGGCAGCACCCAGCAGGACGGCTGGTCCCCAAGCCTGACCCTGGGTAGGGACCCAGCTGATCACAGACCTGGGTGTCCCACCAGCCTTGGCCTCTCCTCCCTGGGTCCCTGGGAAGCTGCACAGACTTCCTCCGCACCGTGGCGTGGGGTCAGGAGACCATGTACGTGAGCATGCCCAGTGAGCGTGGGCTCTTGGGGAGCATGATGGATATCAACAAAGAGGATAAAATGAGAATAAATGTTATGGGCCAGGGGCTTTCCTGTCCTCAGTTCATCTTCAGGACAACCCCACCCACAGATGGGGAAACTGAGGCCCGAGAAGTGAGGCCACCCAGCAGCAATGGCTGGAACCCCATCACAGCGGGATCCAGGACAGAGCAGGTTCCTGAGGATACCGGGGACTCCAGTTTCTAAAACTCCCTGGAATGGGGCAGGCCTTGGGGACTCAGGGCGGAGGAGAGAGAACAAGAAGGACCAGCTGGCTGCCGGTGCAGAGGGCCTCACTCCGGGACTGGTCAGGGGAGCTAGAAGCTGGGCCCCTCGCCTCATAGCCAGGACTAGGGTGGGAGTACAACATGTAAGGAGGCCGAAAAGGATTGAAAACAGGTGTTCAAACAAGTCCTTGCACATGCATGTTCACAGCAGTACTAGTGACAATCACCAAAGGTCCACAAACTGATGAATGGATGAACAAAATGTGGTCCATCTGCACAGTGGACTATCGCTCAGCCATCAGAAGGAATGATGCACTAACGCCCGCTGCAACACGGATGAACCCTGGAAACAGCACACTGAGTAAGAGCAGCCAGACACTAAGGGCCACATATTGTGATTCCATCTGTATGAAATGTCCTAAACAGGCAAATCCAGAGACGGAAAGCAGGCCGGGGGCTGCCAGGAGCTGGGAGTGGCTGCTGGGCCTCCTTTTGGGGTGATGAAATGTTCTGGGAGTGTAGAGGTTAAGTTACTGCTCAGGGTCACCAGCTGGCAAGCAGTGGAGCTGGGACGTGTCTCTCCAAAAGGTCCCTCGTCCCTCTGGGTACCCGGGTTCCGGTGTTGCCTGGCTCTCAGCGCCCAGGAGCGAGCAAAAGGCAGGAATAGGTAAGGCTTCGTTCCCTTTGTAGCCCAAGACGATGTCAGCTCAGCCTGGGGCTGTTTGACATTTTTTATTTTATTTTTTAAGGTATATTTTTATGTATTTCAGAGAGGGAGAGACAGAAACATCAATGATGAGAATCACTGATTGGCTGCCTCCTGCACGCCCCCTACTGGGGACCGAGCCCGAAACCTGGGCGTGTGCCCTTGACCGGAATCGAATCCAGGACCCTTCAGTCCGCAGGCCGAAGCTCCATCCACGGAGCCAAGCCAGCCAGGGTGCCTGGGGCTGTTCGGGTTGATGTGGCCCTGGGCCCTCCCGGATGCTGTGAGGGGCCAGGCCCAGCAGGGCACAGAGGGTTGGGATTTCGCAGGGTCATATGACAGCTGGCCCAGTTAGACCAAGGCCAGCACAGGTCATCCAAGGGCCCCGATCACACCCGGTTGCCCTGGAAAGTGATCCAGGGATGGTTTCGGGGTAGCTGAGAAGGCAACCAGGGAAAACAAACAACCTTTGCTTTCCAGCCAGATTGAATTCCCAGGCGGGCGCCAGAGCAGCCTGGGCGGGACCTGGCAGGGCCCGCAGAGCCCACAGGGGAGATGGGGAGATAGCTCAGCACTGGAGGCCTAGTTCTCTCAGGGCAGCTGAGTGTGTGGGGGAGGACGTACCTTGTGCATGGTTTCCCCCACCCTCCAAGACAGCTGTCTTCCCTATCAGACCCCAGAACAGGGCTCGCCCTCCCCCCCAGACCCCAGAACAGGGGCTCCCCACCCTCCAAGACAGCTGTCTTCCCTATTAGACCCCAGAGCAGGGCTCGCCCTCCTGCCTGAGACCCCAGAGCAGGGCTCGCCCTCCCCCCTCAGACCCCAGAACAGGGGCTCGCCTCCCCCCTCAGACCCCAGAACAGGGCTCACCCTCCCCCCCAGACCCCAGAACAGGGCTCGCCCTCCTGCCTGAGACCCCAGAGCAGGGCTCGCCCTCCCCCCTCAGACCCCAGAACAGGGCTCGCCCTCCCCCCCAGACCCCAGAACAGGGCTCGCCCTCCTGCCTGAGACCCCAGAGCAGGGCTCGCCCTCCCCCCTCAGACCCCAGAACAGGGCTCGCCCTCCCCCCCAGACCCCAGAACAGGGCTCGCCCTCCTGCCTGAGACCCCAGAGCAGGGCTCGCCCTCCCCCCTCAGACCCCAGAACAGGGCTCGCCCTCCCCCCCAGACCCCAGAACAGGGCTCGCCCTCCTGCCTGAGACCCCAGAGCAGGGCTCGCCCTCCCCCCTCAGACCCCAGAACAGGGCTCGCCCTCCCCCCCAGACCCCAGAACAGGGCTCGCCCTCCTGCCTGAGACCCCAGAGCAGGGCTCGCCCTCCCCCCTCAGACCCCAGAACAGGGCTCGCCCTCCCCCCCAGACCCCAGAACAGGGCTCGCCCTCCTGCCTGAGACCCCAGAGCAGGGCTCGCCCTCCCCCCTCAGACCCCAGAACAGGGCTCGCCCTCCCCCCCAGACCCCAGAACAGGGCTCGCCCTCCTGCCTGAGACCCCAGAGCAGGGCTCGCCCTCCCCCCTCAGACCCCAGAACAGGGCTCGCCCTCCCCCCCAGACCCCAGAACAGGGCTCGCCCTCCTGCCTGAGACCCCAGAGCAGGGCTCGCCCTCCCCCCTCAGACCCCAGAACAGGGCTCGCCCTCCCCCCCAGACCCCAGAACAGGGCTCGCCCTCCTGCCTGAGACCCCAGAGCAGGGCTCGCCCTCCCCCCTCAGACCCCAGAACAGGGCTCGCCCTCCCCCCCAGACCCCAGAACAGGGCTCGCCCTCCTGCCTGAGACCCCAGAGCAGGGCTCGCCCTCCCCCCTCAGACCCCAGAACAGGGCTCGCCCTCCCCCCCAGACCCCAGAACAGGGCTCGCCCTCCTGCCTGAGACCCCAGAGCAGGGCTCGCCCTCCCCCCTCAGACCCCAGAACAGGGCTCGCCCTCCCCCCCAGACCCCAGAACAGGGCTCGCCCTCCTGCCTGAGACCCCAGAGCAGGGCTCGCCCTCCCCCCTCAGACCCCAGAACAGGGGCTCGCCTCCCCCCTCAGACCCCAGAACAGGGCTCACCCTCCCCCCTCAGACCCCAGAGCAGGAAACCCTCGTCCCTCAGGCCCCTGGGGTCGTGTTGTTAGACATAAGGGTACGGTTGGGTGGTTTGTCCCTTTAGGCCCCATGGGACCCATTCTGGCCAATGAGCTGTGACCTGAACTTGAACAAGGAACTTCCTAGCTAGGCCATTTAACTGATAGCCCAGACTTTTCTGAGTGTCCCGCCCCCGCCCCAGTCAGGAGATAGTGGCTGCCCCTTCACCTGGATTTCCACAACTACGACTGACCCGCAGAGCCTGCTGCTTCACCGCCCCGGGCACTGGTGTGGATGAGAAATAACCCTTAGCCTCTGAGCCGAACAGACCTGGGGACTTTCCTGATGCTACGGGGATGTGGGGGAGAGCAGAGGGGAGGGGCAGACACGTGACAGGAGCCTGGGGCAGGAATCTCACCAACACCGCCCACCCGCATTGCTTGCAACTCCACGTTTGCACATGCTCTTGCCGGCTACAACGTATTTGCAAACCCCCAAATCAAAATGCTCCTGGTGCTTTCGTGGTCCCTGGAGGACACGTGCAGGGCAGGGCACAATCGGAGTCCCGGGAGGCGGAGCAGGGTGACACCCTGCCTCCTGTTCCAGCTCAGACTGTAAACGAGTCTTTTCTGCGGTCTACTTTTCCCATTCCTGTGCTTTCTCTTGGCATTTCGCCGTTTAAAAAGGCCCCCACGCGTGGTGCCGAAGTGCCGTCTGGTATTCCTAAGCTCCAGCAGGCTGCCTCGTACTATCAGAGAAGATATGTGTGAGGTGAGCTGTGTTCAGGTGTGAGTTACACTGCTGTTGGCAGCGAGTTCAAGGTTAACGATGCAGCAGTATCCGTATAATAATCAAGTATCAACCACTTGACAAAAATGTGACCACAGCTACTCCTAGAAACCCACCCATTTCCCTGAGGAGCCCAAGATTCACTCATTCCGTTTTCTCCGCAACTTTAGTATAAAATGGAACGACTGCGAATAATGAGGGTCGACCATTGTAGCCATAGCTCAGCGGAGGGAAAAGGATGCAGACAGCTTTCTGGTGGAGAGCAGGCTCTGGGTCTAAGCCCAGCTGTGACCTGAGCTGTCCGCTGCCTCAGTGTCACCATCTGTAAAACGGTGACAGGACAGGGGCTTCCCACCGGGCTGTGACGGGATTAAATGAGACACCTGTCTAAGGTGTTGCGAAGTGGTCCCCGAGATACATGGCAGCTGTTACTATGACGTTACTGTGCGCAAGGACAGAGGAGCAGGACTGGGTCTTCCTCGTGACCTAGACTCCTGGGCCTCAGTTTCCATCTGCGGAACAGGAGGAGCAGCGGGGCCACCTCCCCGGGAATTCCCCCGCTTGCGGGGTCACGGCTGTCCGGCTGGCACACGGTGAAGACCACGAGCCGCGCTCAGGGCCAGGATCAGGACTCCAGGCGGCAGGCGGCATAGTGTTTATTGCCCAGAGGACAGCCTGTGGCCTCC